TTTTAAAATGAATCTTGCAGAAATTCATTTTTTGTTCGTCACATTGTTCATCTTCCGGTGCAAGGTAACAAGTTTCACATAGGACTTCATGGTGTTCTTTTGGTGATTCCATGGGAAGAGATTTGAGAAATCATTTTGCTAGATTTGAGAAATAATGCACCTCTATAGGCAACATATTTCCAATGTAAGATGTAAAAAGCACTACAAAACTACCATCTTTTCACTGAAATCCGAACTAGACGATTTTTATTTTACTGACATTCTCCTGGTTTATTTTTTGAACACTAGAAACAAAATGCTACAAAAATAGAACAATAGACATGGTCATAACATATGATATCCCTTTCAAATCAATACAACCATTCTTTACCAAAATTCAACACCATGAATGGGCTGCCTGTACCATGGTAATCTTTGGACAATGAGTGATGGTCATTTTCAAATGAGCCAAAAATGATGTTTGGATGTTTTAAAATATTGTAAGAGTTCATGCTATCTTGAATAATTTGAAAACGCAAATCAAGTCAATAATTTTAGACCTATGGTAAAATAGAACTTCATGGTACAATGTACAAGCAGTGGTTTATCTGAAAATCCTGCAAGCTTTTGACAATAGAATAACAATAACCTAAAATTTAGTGACTTCCAAATGCATCCACATTTTACCAAACCTCAAAGTGTCAGAGAATTGAAAAGATAACTTCATCCAAGATTTTAAGACAGGACTCACCAATACTGAGATGACAGTTACACACCTTCAAAATGATATATACTTTTCGATGATATATCACATGTAATATCATATATATCTGTGTAATCTGAGATGATCAATTAAAAACTGATGTTTTGATTTGTTGTCAGCTGAAGGAGGTCAGTCCTCAACCTTACTCTACCTATATATGAACCATTTGCACTCACTGCCATACAAAAATAGGTGAAGGTCCTTGAATTGAACACGTTAATTAACATATATGTATTAATACATAAGTGCTGCAAATCAAATTTGAGTAGATTATACTGAGGCATATCCTTAATCAAAATTAAGAAAACAAAAAGAGAGGAGGGGGTCAGGTTGAAGCCTACATTAGGTTTTATCATTGCTGTCATACTTGTATCTAAATTCAAACAATGACCTTTGGCCAAAAAGTGACTGACCGCCCCAACTGCACCATATTCCTAGAGTTATAATTAGGTGAAAATGGACCTGACACTGACAGTAATGATACGACTATTATATATGAACATATATTGCATACCAAAACCTGATTTGACACAATAATGATAATGTTATAGAGATCCCGCATGATCCATATGAATTGAGTAATGAACTAATTAGAATTTTTCAAATTGAATTAATTCATTTTGAAATATATGTATGTATAACAGAACACATTTCAACTGAACTGAAGAATAAAATCATTCCTATTCAAAAATTCAGAAATTCAGAACTCATTTGTTTTTAATTCATTGCCTGGACAGACAGACAGACTGACAGACAGATCCTGCCAATCTTAATTCATTTGAAGAATTAGTAAATGCCAAATACTTAATCAAGTGAATGAACAAGGGGCATCTATGCCGGGAAGGTGACAACTGGCCAATCAGTGGAAATAACGAAAGTGACACTAGTTTGTTTATGTGCGATAATAGACATCTGTGGCATTTTATTTATAACATATTCTACTAGACACGCTATCCACTAGCCAGCATAAGGTAATTAACTTGAATTGTATAATCCAATGAAATAACCATGTAACCCTACGATTTCATTATCAGGCACTGCACTAAGCTGGCATAGTTTGAATATTTTACATTTTTTCAGTACAAGGCAAGTTCGGTACAAGGCAAGTTTGAAATGGAACATGTGAAAAACCCCTGCACGTTTAATAGTAAATACTGCTACCTGTATGTTGGCCCTAGACAAAGAAGCAATCATATAGTTCTCAACATTACAAGGGTCACTTACTCATGATTGATAGTACTAAATATTACTTTTAAAACAATTTCAAACCTGTAAAATTATGAAAAAGTGGTTTTGAGTGCAATTCTATACTAGAGCAGTGATATGTTTATTGCAAATGTCTGTAGTATCAAGCTTAAGTGTGGCATATATCATGTATATCACTTCGAATCTATAAACTTTGTTACAAGAGTAATTTTCAAGTTCATGATCACCTATAACAAACTTATTACTGGCAGTGTTCCAAAAGTTTGAACCAGTCTACCACAGAGATACAAGCATTCGAGGAATTCAAGAGTATCAAGTCAATTCAGAATTAAACCTCAGACACAAATATGTGTAAATTATGAAATGATATCCCAAAATAATATTGTACTTGCTCTAGTTCACCGAGTTAAAGAAATAGATCATAAGCACCAGATGACATTTTCGTAAGTAAACATCGCAGTGTAGCATGTTACTCGGAGCTGACAGGGTTGAAAAGAACGAATTAATGAAAAAAGTTACCGCAGACTTCTAGAATTATGAAATACTGTAAGTACCAAATGACATATCGGGTACCTACCTTTTCAAGGCAAGATAGTAAGGATTGTCTGTTTTAAAGTGCATAATACTTTGTCTCTGACGTGTCTAGCTTACGATCCTTTATTAAAGAATAAACAAACACAGTCACAGAAGTTTTTATCATATACATACAGCACTAAATGACACTGAGGGTAACTAAATATCAACACAAATAACAAATCACACCCTATTCAATGATACATACGTCATATTCTATGATTCGTCACAGTCTAAACTTGCAAACAATCCTTTTCAAAAGAGTAAACAGTGACAGGAGTCATAGAAAGCTGTCATTTTTTTGTGAAACTACTGTGAGAAATTATCAGTTCAGGCCTTGGTAATGAATCTTTTAATGATGATAAGTCTTTGTGTGGGAGTAGCTCTTGAACCACCAAAGCGCAATTATATGTAAAGCCTGAGAAACTAGGCATTCCAATATGTCATATTTATGGCACACTGACTTCCTCATCTCATGCATCTTTGCTTTTTTTATCTAGAATAATTCTAATTTTGTATTAAATGGATAACTTATAACTTCCAAATTACAAGTGGCTAAATTTATCTGGAAATAAAACGAAAATAAGTAAAATTCCCCGATTGTAATCACACGAGTGGGTACTAAAGCTGGATTTTGTGAAGCTGTTCAGAGCTCAATGTGCTGTGGTAACACGCATGTTCTAGGGTGAGGGACACAAATAAGCACATGTTCTTGAACATATACTGTAGATGAAAGAATTAGTGAAGCTAATTACACAGACAATGACCAATATGAAATGCTTATTCTCCTTTCTTCCCCTACCCACCAAAATATCTACTGGCAGATGCATACCATAGGCATGCTCATTTTTGCTTTGAAGTTTAAGGTATCAAAGACAAAAACAAGTATTTATTCTATACTTTGATCCTTGACTTATCAAAGACAAAAGATATGCTTTTTTCTTTGAAGTTATATACATCAAAGGCAAAGAGCAAAGGCCTGCTTTGGCCTTTATATGTTCAAACAGCGTGTCCAGAAACAACCAGCAACTGAGGTATATTAACATGTATGCTGTCACATGTAACAGTATGTCACGTGTCAGGTACATACACACCTATGTGACAACAACAACCTGTTTGGTGCACCTTGACCCACCTGTTGATGATCAAATTAAAACAATTCCCAAAGATTGAGGGAATAATTTGTGAGTTTTATCTGAAGGAATGGTTACAATAGCTGGCCTAGAGAAACGGAGATTGATCCACCCCATGCCTGATGCTTGTATTTGACCATGGCATGTCATTTAGGTTCACTATACACACTCACTAACTCTACCCGACCTTGGGTTCACCTATCTACATCTAAAATTACAATTCCAACAACTCTTACATTTGGAAAACCCAAAAATGAACCAATGACAGATGTTTTAGACTTTATATGCGCAGCAAAAATAAAGGAGTCAGATAAGTGCATAGAAAAGCTATATAAAGAAAAGCATGCACTTGTCAAGAATGCATTCAAACACTTGTTTGTGTAGCGCTTGTTAAACTTTTACAGCCCTGGGAATATATGAATGACAAATTGAACTAAATTAATAATGCCAACAATGGTATCATTCAACTCTCAATTCTTCTTAAAATCATTAAATTTCAAAGATAAGTTGATCTTTTTTATTTCCCGATACGCAGCACGTCATTATTCTACCTGACTTGACAGCCAAAAAGTGATTTGCCGAAATTCACACCAATAGTCTTTTCAAACAATCCCATCCTAATGACTTTCATGAGAAAATGATTCCTAAATACACTTTGGGAGTTAAAAATAGGATAAATCAACAATAAAAGAATTTAAAATCACGGGGCATCCAGTGCCTTTCTTGATTATTTCTATTATCATAATGAAACTGTCAGCCTTTGTATTATGGTCGTTATATTTTCCTTTTCAGTTTTTTATGTGTGTAACTTTTGAGTGATTGGCTATAAGAACTTTGACGCTCTTATAAGCCAAAATACTGAATCAATTACAAGATAACTTTACTTTATAAATAATAAATTGAGCAAAAACCACTAAGTATTCATTATTAATTACTATGTGTTATTAAAGGTGTAAGTCGGTGTTTTGTACGAGAGCTTATTAATGCTAAATTAGTAGTAGAGTGTCAAAGTTATCAATGAATACCTGACTCCTTAAGTCACTACATCTATCTCTCAGGTGCAAACTACTCCACAGTAACAACCCATTGAAGAATAAACCTATGTATAGTCAATTAAAATACAAATTAAACATTATATAAAATGGCTACTTAAAGTGTCAGGTCATTAAGTCACCCTCCATAGAAGGTCAACATATTTGTACTGCGGGTGATAAACTAGTATCTCTTAACGAATAAAAAGCCGCAAAAAGACAACCTGTCAATGGGAGCAATGGATTCAGCAACAATATAATAAATCACTTCTTTAGTAGGCTTTAGTAAACAATCTGTTCTAAAAAGGAGTTAAACATCGCTAAATATAACAGGCGAACTTCCTACTAAATTAATTTATTACGTTACCAAAATAGCCTATCATTGAAATGATGCTAGTAATATTGTGTTGGCATGTTTGGCACCCCCAGGAATGTTGAAAATCCTGGGTGCACTGTGTGACATACATGCATGCCTGATTTCTCCCGCCACAGTACGCAGTAGCCAACCAATGATGCTAGAGATCTACTCACTCCAGTAACTGAGCACTGAGTAGTACTTACAAATAGCTACTTCACAGAGCCAAGAGGCCAAAGAGAGGTTGAGCCAAGTGCATTCAAGTATATTTAAATAAATACCAATGTAAGCCAAGATTTGCATTACAACTCACAAGGGTATATAAACAAATTACAACCCTCTAACTTCACTTTTCAATTAATTCTCGGTGAGTAAAGACCATAAGCACTGGAGGGAAGACAACACTATGGCATACTCTAAGCCTCTAGAATTCCTCATTAGAGCAATAACAGTCATTATTAATACAATTTGCCAGCTGATAGAGTATTGTACTCAGAAAAAATGTTTCAATTTGACAGAAGAAAAAATTGAAAAACTTGGAAAGAGAATTGAGGAGACTGCAAAGAAACATGGAGATGTCTACAACTGGACCGATGCCATGTATATGAATATGAAGTAAGGAATAATTTCTTTAATAATTTTTTCATTGTTTACATTTTTTGACATTCAATTGATATGCATTTCCTGTATAATTATGATGAATGGCTTTTTTGTTTGTGTTGACATGCACATTGCTCAGTTAGCTGTTGATGTTTTGTTCACATACTTAACTAAGTTGCATGACAGCAATTTTAATTTGTAAAAATAAAAATGTTTTTTGAAAATAATATATAATGACAGGTGAATGGAGGTTGGCTATTAAGCTATATGAAAATGAATTTATTGCATTCCTTTAACTGAAAACAATAACAAAAAAATATTTCATTTTTTCAAAAACACAGACATAAAAATAAACCACAGATTTTGGATAAATAAATATCAAAATTAATAATATATATAAAAAACATTTTTTGCAAAAATCAAAATTGTGTATTTTGAGCCAGGGACATTTTCTTGACCACTGCATGGGGCTACATAGGTTTATCTTTAGTAATTGGATTGTAACTGTATTAAATAAATAAAGGCAAGAATGGGGAAATATAATGTATTTTTGAAGTATTGAGGAACAACCACTAGCCGGATTTACTAGTTTAATAGACACATTAATAACAGGTGCTTAGCTTCAGGAAGTGTTTTACTTTGTAGTTTGCATTATAAAGGTGTAAAAAGCACACAACCGGGTTAAGCTATACATAACATAGTGTTTGATATAAATAGATAGTACTTTGTATTTCTTTAGAATTTATGATATTGGATTGAGGATGATCTGCTGATCACCTCCCCCCTCAAGTTAGGTTGGCGTCCACACATGACCACATGCAATGATTTTCTCAATGTAACATAAATCCTTCATTAGGTCTTAATAAACCTCTAAATCAGTTTATCATTAAAGAAATTGCGCAAAGTGTAATAGTTAAATAAGATTGTATTTAGGGGCTGTCAAAGTCATTTAATGCAATAAAGCTCAATACTTGAACATAATTAAATTGTAAGTAAACCTACAACACCTCTTTTGTGAAATTGCTCTACACACTGTGGGATAACACCCCCCACCTCAACAACTGGCATTGGGGATTTTATTCAAATGCACTCAATAACATTGAGATGAAATTTTCCTAAGGACAGAAAGCAAAAATGCCAAGGACTTTACTCTTATTAATGTGCTCATTCAAGATACCCCTACAATTAATCAATTCAATTAAGATATACCGGTGTTATTGTCAATAGTTTATCCTATGAAATAAGCTTGGGATGTTATCGGAAGATTTGTGTATTTTTTCAATTTGCCACTTGATACTGTCAAGGCTGTCTAAATCAAGTCAATTAATAAAGATGCCATAGCTCTGATTGTCAACACTTGAGTTGCTTGTGCCAACCTAACCTAGGCTGCTGAAGCACCGATCCACCTCAAAATATGATAACATACAATTTAATATATCAAATGACATTGACAACCATGGTCATAATGGTAATATATTTATGCCTACTTTGCATACTATCCTTAAAATAACTTTACATTTTATTTAAATCGATATCTGCACTAAAATGGGAAAATATTAATAATTTCAGACTTGACATTTGTTTGAATACTGACCAAAAGCACTGATATTTTATGTGTCAAGTTTTTTTAACATTTCTATCTGGCAGGGTAAGCTATGTTCAAATGCCATTAAATTGGTTAATCAAATCCTCAGTATTATTAATTAACAGCAACTGACACATGCACTCGGCCAAAACCCTGGGAACAATCTCCAGTGCAAAATATTCCAATTTACAAAGAAATACACATTGAAAACGTCTTTGGTATCATGGCTAATCTCTTAATAATCACCAGATTATCACTTTCTCATTTAGACTAATGAGCTCTAAAGACCTAAGGGACAGATCATCCCCGATGCCCCCTTATCATCATCATTAACATGATTGGTTGTTATCTCTGTTTATCTTGTATCAGTACATATGTCCTGACACTAACAAGGGGTTTGAGAAAACCCCCAAACAAGGCAGTGCATACATTGACTTATATACTTACAAAATCATAACAATAAACCCATAGAGCTAGTTAGAGAGTAATGTCACTTTGGACTGTGTTATAAACACACGGCAAGAATACGACTGACTAACCGCAATCCACAATTATGCAGTAATCCTAGCCAAAACAAATGAAACAATTGGCAAGGATTGCATTACTATCAAATGATGTTCTATTAATTTATCACTTTTCAAGTTCAACTAGCTCAACATTCCACTGTGTGACCACATGCTATGAAATTAGGATAATGTTTATATAATGATGGGTACATGAGAGGATATCCTGCTGACACCATATATGAGGATGACATTGCATAATATACTTATATTAATAAACACTTATTTTCTAATATATATATACTAGCATATGCAAAAGGGCATTAGGGGCATTCCCCTTCCTTCTCTTTGCAGAAATCTAGCACAATTCAACATAAAAAAGAAAGCCGATAATAACATCAATAAGCTGTCGAGATCGATTTGTCAGTATTTCATTATGCTACGAGTATTTGCAAAAATATAATGCTCAATTGTACACAATATGCTTATATTGGTTTAACTTACATAAACTAGTCAAAATAATAAAGAATCAATCCCAGTATTGTTTACTTTAATAGAATGTGTTGTTGAATAGTGTAATGAAGCTTGGGAATGGGGTAGGCCTATTGCCAGAATTTAACCTAACTAAACACTGAAACATGACAATTATAAATATTGGTTCAGAGATTATTCCAAGTTCAAGAGGATTTGAGGTCCTTAATTCTAAATATAACCGCCAACATTCCAAAAAGCTGGCCAAATATAACATGTCTGCGTGCACACTAATATTCAAACACCATTTCGTGTGGATTTGATATCAAATACCATGTATTCAAATTTTCTTGGCAGATCCAGCTATATAATCCATAAATAAGCAGTAGAAACCAAATTTTGCCTATTATTTAATTTAAATAGTGCAGAAACAGTTTTCAAAATTATACACATTGTGTACCTTTGGAGTTGAATAATATTTATACTAATGATATCATATGGATTTGAATTTTTATGAATGTAAAAGTTGAAATCTATGGAGTGTGATTTAGTGATGTTTAGTTAAGTTATAGCTTGACCAGGTTATCACAGGGTGCAATAGAAAGCAGGACCTAAAATGCACTAGAAATGGGTCCCCAAATGGACCTTGCTTACCACAAACAAGCAAGATATACTTCAGAGTCGATCACTCGTATGATCTTAAACAACATTCATCCTTTAAAACAGCATGTCATTTGTCTCAATAAAGGATCTGAGAAATGTCTTGGGGCAATAATCTTTAATTACTACAAGAACCCTAAAAAACATTTTTCCAAAAACAGGATATCTTCTTGTGTGTATATTAATGATGTCGATTTTCCCTGTCTAATTCAATAATCAATTTTTTGCACTTAAACTGATGAAAATTGACGTTGACACAGAAAACAGGAAAAATAACCTCTGAGAAGTTTGGCCTAATAACCTGATTAAAATTACACATTCCTCATTCATGTTGAATACATCCAATACTAGAACAAATTATTTTGATAGATATACTGGAAAACATCATTCATTGACTGTTATCATCTTTGGTGAAATCATTTAGGGTCTTTTAAGAGCACCAAGTACTTTAAGCTACAACTATCATTCAAAAACTTAGATGAAGCTTTCAAACATGCCAATCAAAATCTTCACTATTTTATTGAACATTAAAAAGAAATATATGTCATACTTTTATACTGTCAGCGGTGAATATGATTTTTGGAAGATAATCAATTTTGCACTGAATTAATATCAACTAGATCAGTCCAACCTGAATTGCATTCCATTTTACTCAATTTGTTCTGATGTAATTGCACACTAAAACATTATAGTTTAGTTGTTGGCGATTAAACAATGCAGAAAATATTGGTATCAGAAGCGTGAAATCTTATGAATGATCTTACACTTCAGGTAGATGTAATCCAGTTACGATTATTAATAATCCAATATACAAAAATTGCACAATTTCTTAATCTGTTAAAATCGATCAGCTCGTACTATTAACAAAGGAATGTTAATTCCTGGGTGTTCAATTTTCATAACATTCCCTGGTTAAATGTCAAAACTTGCATTTATTTACAACGTCAAATCTGCTAAACTCAATCATTACTCGACAAAGGAATGTTTGTTTTTTTATTGAATACATTCAATAGTAACAATATCTCCCTCCCTGAGTCAAATGTCAAAACTTGTATCTATTTACAGTGTCACTCGAGGCATAGCTAAAAATAAAGAGAGATTTACAAGGGACTATGGTGTTATATTCATTTACTGTCTAATAACCAGATCTTAGACATTGGGGCCAACTTCTCATTTCAATGATGGTTATGAAAGTCTGTAAAAGTGCAATACTAGACCACAAAATCAAAAGCAGTGATAACTAAATTCCTCCAATCACAAAACAATTTTATTACTAAACTTATATGCAAATGGAACTCAAGTACAAAACAATAGCAAAACAAGATCAAAAAGCCCACCAAATATGATTATTAATTTGTATGGTTTATGTGCTTTCAGCTGTTGGGCAGAAGACACAGCCCTCTCTCCACTTGGGAGGTTCCACATTTACAATACAGCCAAAGAGTATGTGGATAATTTAGAGAATGTGGCCAATTGCATTGCTGCACAACCCGATATTCTCACGGTATGTACACTTGCTATTGAACATGATATAGTTCAAAACAAGGTGAATTACCTCATTTCGGGCCTTTATAAGTAAAAAATTATTGATTGTTCTTCTTTGAACAGTAAAATGTTCAACTTCCTCAATTTCATGAAAAAGCCCAATGATCCTTCGTTTCTGAAGTGCTTTATATTGTATACAAATAGTAAACACTGCAGAAAATCTCATATTTCCCTATTCACCAATCCAATATATTAATCAAATGTTAAATCAAAATCAATATTTTGAGAATACTTAAACAGTACTTGAAGAAAAAATAGGCTTCTTAAAATACCCCCCAAAACATGATACACCAGAAATATGGGGAATGGGAATTTGCTAGCGTTTCCGCATGCCTTAGAGTGGGAATGCCAAGGGCTGGAGAGGAGTATTAGAGACCTGTACAAACAGCTGTACAAATATTGTGGAAATCCCAGAGAACTTACCTGCCCTGGTTGGATATCAATATGATATTGGTCAGGTTACCTGCTTTTGCCCCAGGGTCTTTATTTACAAATCTGCCCTTACAAAATATAAAACCAAAGTGGTCAGATTTTGGCCAAACATCATTTTCTGGTTTGCATTGAAGGAAAACTATTTGGAATGATTACCTGGGGGATTAATCATCGGTATATTTCTTTTGAGTTAAAAAGTGAAAATATAAATATTTGTTTGGGTTCTCAATGGCAACAGCCGAGCAAAAAGTGCACTTAAAATCTACCTCTGGTTTAGAATTTATGGTCACTCTCAAAATTTTAAAATGCCATAAAGATCTAATATTGATTTATTTTCTTAATCTACCACTGACAAATTAATGATCTTCACACTGATTTCTGGTTATTAGAACCTTAGGCACTTTGTGTGTTAATTAACCGAAGGTTAAACCCAACTACCACAAAAATTCTGATTAGGTTTGAATTTTGACATTTTCAGGTGCCATTAAAAAGACCCATCTTCATAACTGGCCATATGAGAACTGGAAGCACTCTGTTGCTTAACCTTTTGACCTGCGACCCTGCAAACTTCGGTCCACCCCTTTGGCAGCTTCGTAAGCCAGCCCCTCCGGTGCCAGGGACACCTGATAGAAGACTTGAACAGTCAAAGAAAGACCGATGTAAGTAACAAATCCATCCTAAGCACTTGTTGCCTCTATTTTGAAAATCGAAATGCAAAAGACAAGTCAAGATGCAACTCATCACTCTATTTGCAACTTGGGAGGGTGGCAGGCCAAATCAACAAGTTATTCAGTCAAGTGCTAATTACTCCAAGATAGTACTTTGTTTTTGATCACAAAGCTACTCTAGCCTTAGAAAGTAACAACAGGAACCGGATGATACATGCTCAAATAATTGAGCTTTGATTTACTTGTTTTCTATTTAGAGTGAATAGAATTTAGCCAGAATCCTGTTGAGCTCTCAGGCCAATAGTCAATATGCATACAAACTAACCAATTGTCCAATCATTTGCTATAATGCCTCGTTAAATTCTCACATCCTTGTTCTAAGAAATGATAATAACTCTACAATTTAGAGATAGCATGCGGGTAAACGGCTCTGATAAACTGCTAACAGGCCCCCACTTAGACCTGCCACTACTCGGCTATGTGCCATCTTACAACGAGAAAAAACTCTCACAAAGTATGCCAAAGTGGACTTGAGGGTTCGTTCAAGTCATTGCAACATGACACAATACATGTAGAGCCATGTACAGCGCTATGTACATATTGTCAACCAGCTAAAAAGGTGTCAACCTTTCAATGCTCTAGCAAGTGCAAAATCGTCAAATACACATCATAGATAATTTGGCAAGTTTTATGCAAATACAATCATTGCCCTATGATTTATTGGCTTGGACTCGATGACTTTTCTAATCAGGGATCGTTAATTAATCTAGGTCATATAATGATATGTACCCATTGAACCTACTACTGCTCCCACCAAGATATATATAGATTTCATTGTTTGAAGTCAGCATGTAAAACAACTTTGTCAAGACTCAACAGCCCTTCATTTTAAGTAAATCAGTTCAATTGGGATTCAACAAGTTCAGAATGTGAGCGAAGGACATTAACATATTACATCAGAGTTTACTTTGAATACTTTTTTCTGGCAATAAATTTCAAAAAGTAAGATTTATGACAGGTTGACCTGATCATGAAAGTTACTCAGTACATTTATAACATTTGTATAAATTCATAAATGAGCTAAAAAATCAAATGAATGGCGCTTTGTACTCTATACCACTCCAAAGTGAAAGAAACTTGGAACAATACAAATATCAGATATAAACTATCGCAATGTTACTAGGTGTATGAACATAGGACAATGCAAAAGTCAAATAAATATTATTTTTCTTTCAATTCATAACTGTTTAACCGATTCAAAAAAATGAGTGCAACATAGTTTTCTATTCTTCGAGATTATTTATCCAGTCATTATACTCCACCAACATATTTTAAGTACTTCAGTTTTACATTTTTGATGATATGCCAATTGTTGAGATAAGTAAACTTGTATTAATTGCACTAACTAAACATATCTGACCTTTCACTATAAATAGCGAACTAATGTCAAACATAAAAAGTTCAAAAATCTTCTGATAAAATATAATAATTAATGTGTCTGCTTTTTGTATTTCTAGGCTTCATGGAAGCATTGGTGCCGGAAATTCGAAAGCAACACCAGGTCGAGGCTACAGATAGCGAAGAATGTTGCGTCGCAATGGACCGAATATTTCTTTCAAAGTGGCAACCACTTGTATGCCAAACAATGCAACCTTACGCAACCTGGTACCAAAACATGCCAAAAGAAAAAGCACGCAAAATGTATGAATATTTCAACCGGGAAATGCAGCTTCTCGCATACCATCAAGGTAAGAATCATAATATAAAATGTTTCATTAACTTTTTATTAACGTGAGAATTATCAGATATTCCATCCAGGTATATAGCATTATAAAGTATGACACAATCCCCGGCTGAATTATGTAAATATTGATAATCAGTTCAATGTCAATGCTGGTGGTAAACTATGGGCTTTTTGCCAATTCAGTGCCATTTCATTCAGTAATTAATTACTCTAGACCTAACTGGGTACCAACTACCAAATAACTCAAGTAGATTCTTAATTGATCAATGTTTGCTATCTCTCACTCAAATATCCTTTGAATGTATTTATAATTCATGAGCCTGGTTTCTTCTGTTTCAGGCAACGGTCACAAACGGCTTGTTCGCAAAGATTCCCTACATATGCTGTTTACAGACAGTTTGCTGGAAATTTTCCCGGATGCGTGTATAGTGAACACGGTGAGACGTCCAGAAACAATTACGCCCTCCCAAGCTAGTATGTTCACGACACTCTCAAAAATATTTTACACAGAAGACCAACAGGATCCACACGGGATTGGAAAACGTAGCTTAGAATTCATTGAAAAATCCAACAAAACATTTATCAATGTTCGAAAGAGCTTTGACTGTGAACAAAACAACAATGCACCTCAGCGAGTCTTCACAGATGTCATGTACGATGACCTTATAAAAGACCCCATCAAAGTTGTGAAAAACATTTATGACTTTTTCAATCTGGAATTTACACCTGAATTTGAAAAGAACATGAAACAATACCTCATATCTCGACCAAACAACAAACACGGGAAGCATATATACTCATTGCAAGAGTATGGACTCACTCAAGACTCATTAAACATAGCGTTCAAAGAATATAAAGAGTATTTCAATATCAGTTAAACGCTCCATCCAAGATTGAGCCAAAATCAAAGTAAACAGTGCAAATATCTGTCATCATGTAAATTGTCATTTTCAATAGTACATAACAGATGTACATGTACTAAGAGTCACCCTGTACATAATTAATATATACATTTTCATCATCTAGATTAAATTATAAGCCACTAAGGCTAGACTGTACATATTGTAAATAGAAAACACACATTGTTTATTTCACTCATTTTGAGTACATTCAACGAGAATACAATATTGAATAAAACGTAAAAAACTAAAATTACAGCATATTGTTTGTTGACCAACAGTAGCACTGAATTAGGATACAAGATAATCTAAGATCTCTTCTTTCGTTACACTTGACTTAATAACTTCCTAGTAATTATACAAAATGCACGTCAATATACCTAACCCATTTGTAAATAAAATTTTCAGTGGTTGAATCACATCAAAATAATCCTGAAATTTAGACATAAAATCGCATACTCCACACATAGTTTAATCTAATCTACAAAAACAACCAATAAAATTTACATGTTTTTTCGACCGACACAAATTCCATTTGAAATCTGTACTTGTGGTTAATTAAGGTTCAGTGCACCGAAGAAAAATATTAACCAATTTTTTTTAATTTGCCAGTTTTAGCTTAAAATAGAAAATATCATATTTGACATGAAGGTAAACAAGATTAAAAATAATATTAGTGATACAAAATGAAATGTATCGACTGTGTGAAGTCAATATTGGACAGTGAAAGTATGTACAGGTGAATGGTTTGTGGTTTCCGTGATACTGACTTTTGACACTTTCACCAACCACAGCCAAAGAAAACAGGATTAGATTTCAAATGAAATTCCTGGCATTTTTAACAGTACAGCTCGGAGCACCATCTTTAAATAAAAATCTGGTATCGTATAGATATCCGCCAATCTACAGGTTATCATGTACATTGACCGCACTATCCAGGCATCTGCACCTAGAATTTCACTGAATTTAGATTCAAATCTAAAAATATTTCCCAATTGATTGGCCTGATTTTAAATACTACATGTCAGCACTAAAGGATCTCCCAAGTTGGTATCCTGATAAAAACTACCCCCCTCCACTATGTACCAAGTGCAAGTTTATCAAAATCTGGACACTTGGTGGCAGGTTTATCAAAATCTGGACAATTTGTGTCACGTCAAAATGTTTAGGAATCCAATTTGCAATCGAAATTTAAATCTAAAAATATTTCCCAATTGATTTGCATGTCAACTTCATTTAATACCCCCCCCCCCCTCTGATTTCAGTGCAGATTTACCATAGTAAGGACAATTTGTTTCTGATCAAAATATTCCCAAACTAATTTACATCCTCCCTAATTGACTTTCCTGATTTTTGATATTTCACGTCAACCTAAATGTCAATCTCACAAGTAAAATTCTCGGTAAAACCACCACAACCTCTGATTTCTCAGTGCAGACTTTCCAGATTCAGGACAATTTGTTTCTGGTCAAAAATTCCAGAATCCAATTAGCAAAGCTGGCACATTCCTTGGCCGTAATATTTACAAATACTCACACTGGATGGTATTCCTTACTATTTCAAAGACCAGATTAGATTTCTTTCATTATAAAAGAAATAGTATACTTAAATTGTATCGCATTTAGGAGATTAAAACCAATGTGTCAGTGATAAAACCATATCAAATTAAATTAAATTCCAATTTCGAATGTGACATGTGACTGACAAATTAGTAGTTTCATTACAAGAGAGTAAACATACTTTATTTTTAAAAAGAATGCAAATCGCTCCTTAAGTATCTCTGGTAAAATATCTGTTATTGCGGAATTTTCTGATTGACAGCAAATATTCAGGGAATGCATGTAGAGGTGTGTAACAGGTTCACTGAGTTTCGTTGCCATTAGGTATGCCTTCAATGTATGCAATGTATCTCACGTAATTGACTAAAACAATTAATGATTTATCAAATTACAGGTAACATGGATCAGTGCATTAGGAATTTCTAGTATATGGGGTAATTGGAACACTATGTAACAAACAAATGTTCCTTGCAAATAAGAAAAAAATCTAAATTCATCATGTCTTTTTTAAAAAAAAATAGGTGAATAAAAGTTCATATATTGGTACGAAAAATAATTTTGACAAATTAATTTTTAAAAATCGCATTTAAAATCGCAATTTTTGTCAAATGTTTGTTACAAAATGTTTTACATGTATAATTAAGTAAACATATATTAAACAAATGAATAATAAAAACAAATATTAGTCATCATATGTAATCCCTCAAATCCTAGAAGCATGTGCAAAGTGAATTAAGGGTAATAAATGCAATGTTGAAAATTGCAAAACTATTACATAATCCAAATTGCAAAATATCAACAAATCAATACGTCATCACTAGATTAATTTGTTTTGATCCTAATCTAGTGTTACATACGTCATATGGTGTTTTTGAATGACTTTATCTGTACATGGTGTACAGTGCACAGTGGGTTGTGACGTTGAACCAAATAGTTCACATGAACGCATTACACTCATATATCAAAACATTCGTAAATTCATCAGATAAACAACTCAACTAATATTATTGATATACAAATACCCTTAGATTAAAATATGGCTTGCTCGCCAGAGACATCTTTCATAATGGTCACCCCACCTTGAATCAAAAAACAAACCCATTCAATATTTCATTTTCATAAATTGATAATGGTTTCATGGATTTGATTTAGGATGATAAAAAGAGATGATCAATTCTAAAGTTCTCCACTAGATTCCTGGGTTGATTCGATATCATCAGCTTTTGGAGTTGAACCGTCCTTTGTCTTGAAATTGAAATCACTTTTTTCAGAATCAGTTTCAGATTCACTAGTAGTTTCGAGATCTTTTAATTGGTTAATATCTTTTACGGAGTCCTTATTTTCATTTTGTTTAACAGCAGGTTCTTCTGAGTCGTCAGATGCTTCTTCCGTCAATTCCTGAAAATATACTTTAAATTTTAACATGGATGTATGTCAGTGTGTAACTGACTGTAGACACACCTTAATATAGATTTAAGATTGCTCCTCATATAGAAGAGCATATCTTAATAATAAATAAATACATTTATTGTTACTTTCCTTTTCATATAAACATTTCAATATGTTGTGATAAAAAGGACAAAACAAAATATTATTAAGTTTTATTCAACCTGAACAAATGTAACAAACAAAATGAATAGGGGCAACATTTTTAAAAAATATGCAGAAATAAAAATTGACCAGACTTGTATTATTACAGATTTGTAGTTGAGATAAAATGTACTGATTTTGGATGACCTGTACTAAATATTTAGAAAACAAATTCTTCTGTAAAGAATCAGATTCCAATAACATGCCCTGAAACAAGGTTCCCTGGCACAAGGGAAATTCAACCCTGCACAGGAGTTTTATCTCCAATCTTTAAATTTGCGAAACTTTTTTCTTTGAACTTACATATCTAATCTGAGTGCTCGTCAGATAATCAAACTAAATTTTCTGTAGTAAGCAATCTTTAAAATAACGATATTCATTTCACTTTTAGACTTATATAAAAGTCCACGACAGCTCAACTCGAGAGTTAAGACTGTTAAGATCTTTTAAGTATGTAAATCCTTTACAAAGTCAGAGGGTAGATCAGCTAAGCAGATCCAGGGTAGGGTAATTCAGTGTCTTTGATATACTGGGCACTGGCTCACTCTTAGTAAGCATGCTCCTCATGTTGCAAGCACCTGTTGCATGGATACTTCTGGTATTCCACTGATCTTATAGTTAAAATACTACACTCTGATTAGAATGGATAATTATATAATTTGGCATTCAAGTAATCAGAGAGAGCTGAAGAGCCATGCTTGGAAATAACCATCATTGAGGTATGACAACCTCTGATAGGCTCAGTAAGTTTACGTGAATATTGGTACTTGTAAAGAGCATGAGGCAAAGTCAATCATTATTGATTTTGAAAAGGGTATTTTGGGAGAATGTCCTTAAACCGAAGTATGGAAGGTTTCCCCAGGTTAATATCTATAGTACTTACAACACCAGTTCAGTCAAAGATCACAAGAATTCTTGCCTTTTAACATTCAGGAGTTCTTAGGTACAATATGCATTGATATTTTATAGCCATATAAACACATACTGAAAGGAAATATTATACATATTTCACAGGGTCTGAGAGCTTCAGCATCAAGAAGGCACATCAGGTAACACTTGCATAAAGAAAAGACATAACAACCCTAGTGATTACCTCAAAATTGAAGCAAAGGGTGTAACAAGTGAGCACACTGTTGGGAAATTTAAAAAATTGAGATATTTATTGAGATAAAAACATAATTAACCTTACCATACTTTATAAAATGGAGTCAATCTTACCATACTCTTTAAAATCCATTCAATCTTACCATACTTTATAAAATGCATCCAATTTTACCATGATTCATAAAATTCATCAAATCTTAAGATTCTCCATAAAATGTATCCAATCGTACCATTCTTCATAAAATGCATCTAAATCTTACCATACTCTATAAAATGCATTGAATCTTACCATACTTTATAAAATGCATCCAATCTTACAAAACTTCATCAATGGATCAAATCGTACCATACTTTATAGAATGCATTCAATCTTACCATACTTCACAAAATGCATTCAATCTTACCATTTTTCATAAAATGCAATCAATCCTACAATACTTCATAAAATGCATCCAATCTTACCATGCATTGTACTCGATAAAGTGCATTCAATCTGACCATTCTTCATAAAATGGATCCTTATCAGACCAGATTTAAAAAAATACATATCTAAGTATACTTCATAAAATGGATCCAATCTTACCATACTTCAAAAAATAAATACCTCTCGACAGTCGACATGCTTCTTATAATCTTGAACTACCTTGAATATATTTATTAATTATAAATTTATTAATTTGTACAAGCAAGACAATGACATTATTTCATTGATAAATCTGCAAAATTTTTGCAAAATTGCAATGCTCTGCTCTTGTTTTGTAGATTGCATTTCACAGATATATGCAAAGTGCATCAAGCATTACAAAAAGTATTAAATATTACTAAGTTCCCAGGCATCATAAAGCACATCAAGCATTGCTAAACTACCTTTCTTGAAAATCAGTAAAATAAATCTTGATTAAAACTATTCAATTAAGAACATCTGTCTTTGAACTTGACTAATCTGTCACTATACCCTGGGATAATCTATAATTCTCAGGTATATATCAAACAATAACTC